GTTGCTCAAAACTCTTCGACAGCCCACGACCGGTTTCGACCTTCTTGGGGCTCATCAGGTAGGCGCAGTCCCCGAGTTTGCGTCAACCTTATGTTCTACCTGAACTTCAACAACCTTATCAACAACCTTTATGAAAATATACTGCGATTTCTCGAATATCGTGCCAACTAAATCATGAGGCGGCCTGTGTGCAGCACATTCAGTTGGAGGACATCATAAACGAGAGGCTCAGTTAAGTCTCTCTTGAAAACCAAATTTTAAATAAGCAGTTTCTTCACATCCTATTCTGTAGAAACGATTGCACTAGAAGGTAAACCCAAAAATTATTTATGCAAATACTACCTGTCATAGACTGGTTTCGTGAGTTGAACTGTCCAGACAGCCGCGGCGTGTCGTATGCTGAAATGCTGTGTGAAAGCAATTTTTCGGGAATTCTTCAGGGTTAATGTAGCTACGATCACTGAGTAGAATGCGAATAAATTTGGTTACAAACAACCCAAGAGGGATCTGTTGATGAAATTTAATTGTGCCTTCCTGGCTGAAACTATCCACGTTACAACCTATAGTAAGCCCTAAAGCAGGGACTCAGTGGATTTTCACAGGTCACTTAGCAGTACTGTCCTGCAGTAGATTCAGAATAAACCTCACAATGTTGAGCGTATTTCCACACTTAATGTGATTGCAAAATAGCGTTTCAGACGTATATCCGGTCTGAAAACATTTTGGCTAAAACGATTACCAGAAGGCCGAAAGAGATCCTGGTTTGATGAATATCCGGTTAAACGGTAATTTCTGAAGTAGCGTACATTGCCTCAATTCATGCATGATTAAAACGATTACCAGAAGGCCGAAAGAGATGTGGTTTACTGTTGTAGAATACTTCGACGTATTCAGGAAAGCCCGTTGAGTGACGCGCAAAATCACAAGCCAGAAATTGTAGGTTCTTCATACTTATCAAAAGATGCGGTACTAGATGTATGAAATACGTAATAAAAGAGGTAAAAACCTCAAATTACGGGGGTTTTCGTCTAAACTGTTCCACGAATTAGTGCAAGTCCAAAGAGAGCTCGGAGAAGATGGCAAATTGATCTCAGTTTGCAACACACGCCTGGATACAACACGTGGTAACGCAAAATGGTCAAAAGGCGCGCCTGAAGGATGGCCGACCAAATTGGTTCGACAAGTCAAGGGTTAAAAATTAATGAGAGATTACAAATGTATATCGAGCCTACGAGGTAGACGCAGTAAACAGTAGCAGACAAGGGAAGAGTTTGACCAGGGGAAAAGGAAGTACAGCTGTACAGTTTACAATTTGTAGCACTTTCCAAATAGGAATGGAAGATGTAAAAATGAAGCAATCATATGTATAGTTAAAATGAATGGAAATTTAAGTTTTGGAAAACATCTAACCACGTCAGTATTGTTTCCAATTCCCCAAGGCCTATTTTTGGTCTTCAATAAAGACAAAGGTCCTGCTCTTGAGTGGTCTCAGTAAAATACCAGTTTTCCATAGATTAAACGGCGCCCTAATTGGTTGGTGACGATATCCACAATATGTGTGCTAAATTAAAAACCATAAAAACTTCTCAGCACTTGCGTGACACCAATTGTTTCCTTAGCTCAAAGGAAAAATGAAGTCAGTTCTTGCGACTGGTTTTGGCGCCAAAATTTGATGCGCGTAAGCTGGAAACGGTTTCTAACTCTACGTAAATAACTGTCTTACGCGATAGACATCACTCATAACAAGTGTCGCTTAATTTGCGCAAAAATAGAAAATTTCCAGGGTACTCTGAGGAACTTTAATATTATTTGTAAATATTTCAAATAGACAGTCCGGTTGTCAAAACATGTTAGGAACTAACCCCGACAATATCCGGCTAATAGATCGATGTCATTAGGCTCGCTTGTAAATGAAATTAATCAAGATTTGTGATGGAAACTGTCCTTGATTCTCTCTTGTTTCGTAAAAGGACTAGTTTTGTGGACATAAACGTTTCGTTCTCTCCCTTCTTCCTGATAATGCTCGCGGTTTTTTTTAGCTCGATTTCAGAGTCAAATGCATCGACCAATATCCGTCAGCTTATTGAGGTCACGTGAAAAACTAATGACCCTGTCAAACAACCTCTTTATTTTACCTATCAGCAGTTGTCGCTCAACAGAAACACAGCCCAGAATCATACAAACAGCTACTCTTTGCTGGTTGATTAGCTTGACTGAATTGTATTCATTGGTCTGTAGCTTGATTTAATTTGTGAGCTGCTTCCGAACGTTTTGTCAGTTTGCGAATAGAAAAGATGACAGTATGTCTGCACGGATGGTGACGACACTTTGGCTTGAGGTGAACAGTCAGATGTTCTAGATGTGCGACCATGCAACACCAGGTTGACCACATTTGTTGTCGGTGACGCGCTTGGCTGATCTGACGGTACAAGTCTATTCCGGTGAGATGTTGTGGTAATTATAATGCAAAACACTCTTGTTTATTTACTGCTACGACCATGATGAAGCATGATGCACCCTGGCTTTCTTAACCAGAGAATTGAACCCGACTAACGAAACACTTACTCCTCTAAAGGCCGCCCTCGTCATATTCTACTGTGGCCTCACAAGTAAATCCTCAATTAATCTGTGATAAGTTCGTAAGCTGTGGTTCTAATGCATTTAACCCCAAGGAGTTTTCCTTCTTGACCTTCTGGAGGGAGGACAAGAAGAATGAGAGAATGAACCATGGAATCTTTATTAAAGTGCCTCGAAACATCAGCAGTTTGTTGCACCACGCCCACTGGAACATTCTAATTTATCACTTTATTCAAACAAAATCTTCTTTTGGCGAATAATCTTCCACCTGCATGTCACAGATTGCGCGTACTCCAATCTCTGCAACACCAAATCAATCACGTTCACTTTATTCGTAGCTTTAATGACAAGGGTTTTCCCAACGGAATATACTCACAAGGTTGCTAAAACCTCTTCGAGAGCCCACGATCGGTTTCGCCCTTCTTGGGGCTCATCAGGTAGGCGCAGTCCCCGAGTTTCCGTCAACCTTGTGTTCTACTTGAACCCAGTTGAGTCTCCCGTGAAAACCAAATTGATTTGCAAATGAGTGTATTTCTCGAATGACAAGGGTTATTTGTGAATCGAACGTGTCCACTTAGAACTACTCGTGATTCACACGAACGTCACAATTGAGTTCATAATTCATACACTGGATGTCTTATTTTTCAGTTTGACCTTGCCTAGCAGACAGTGTTAGCAGTAACCTTGAGGATATTACGCTCAGACCCATCAACGTCTTGTACTACGCTGAAGATATCCACGGTGTTTGTACTGCACTGTTTTTTTAAAATATATTTGCATCCCCGTAGACCGTTGGTTGACCTCTCATCGACCGTTTGACGTCAGAACTGAATGCACTGGAGCAGGTTGATCACAAAATCACTAACAAGTCCAGCCGAAAACTTTGTGGCACTTCGGATATGGAATAAGGATGTTTGCGGAGTGACAGTATGAATATACTGATTCAGTTTAGGGAAAGCACGCGACACCTGGTTCTGTGTCGTGTAAGTTGTGTACACTTGGTTAATCGATTGAGGATCAGAGAAAGACGTACAAGCGAGCTTCACCGTTGAAGCATGTTGCTGGAGGTAGGTATAATGGTGAACCTCTATCGTCTACTTTACTGACAGTAGTGTGTGAGTAACAATAAACAAAAGAGCAAATCACACTTTCGGCGACCATTTAAATATTTTTGGTCCAATTGGATTTCAGTAAATGAACTCACGGCAACTGAAGTCATTGTTCATTGCTTCTGTGGTTTAAAACGTGACCAACAGACCCACAGAAGACACAGAGAATTATGGGTAAACGTGACCTTAAAAGGTGGAAGTACCTACCGCCTTCCAGAGTTTTTACTTTTCTTGATGTGGAAGCTTCATACCTAAAGCTCACCACTTTTCCACTTTTCTGTTGCAATCATCTGAATAACCTGAAGAAGACACGTAGCCAGCAATGACGTTTTGTCTCAAGGCCCATTGGCCTATTGGGTCAAACATTAGAAACGATCAAGAGCATGACACTAAAACCTAGACAGTTTTACGTGGATACACTTTTTCCAACGACAGTGTACTTACACATGTCACCATCGAGCAGTTTGTGACTGTGCGCTAATCTGTCGCAGCACAAGAGGGTGTTTTATTGTTCCTCTTTTTTTACCTGTTCAACCTCCATTGAACTTGGTGAGTTCATCACAGCCTTATTGTTAATCAGATGATATTTAGAATACAAACTTGGAGACCACACTAAACAGGTGAACTCTTAGGTTTTTGAGTGTATTTCACTAGGTTTGATCGGTAGAGTGGTGGTCGCGAAACATTCATGTAACTAACAACGTGACTTTCAAGGAAGGCACGATCGTTTGTTCACGGTGGATAGGACTGGTCTCTGGGAGCTGGGATGCTAAAATACCAACCATATATCGACAAAATTGCATTTCGGGGGCAAGTCAAAAACAACTATTCCGTTTGTAGCTTTTATTACTGTATTTAGCTTACACATGGACATCTGTTTACACGTAATTTTACTGCACTTTACAGACTTACTTGGTGTACTCCGCCTCTCGGCTAAACGTTCTTTAGGTAAACAAACAAACATGAGTCACTGCACGACAAGCACAATCTTTCCGGGCGAATCTCTAAGGCGGCGCTTGAATCTTAGATATCGCAAGTTTCCACCTTTCCGCAAGTATTTGGACTGATGCACTTGAACTTCGACGAAGAGTTCACCTTTCCGAAGAATCACTAATCTCCCAGCGAACTCTCAGAGTTGCCCAAGAAGTCATTCGGGATGTCTTGACGGGCCCGAAAACCACTGTCATTGACGATTTCTATTGCAGCACATGATTTTTCTGCATAGCTTGGAATCATCTGGAGGTCTTATGCGCCACCTAATTGTTGCACTTACTGTTGTGTTTCTACCATTCTGATCTTTCCCTCACAACTCAGCTGAAGTTTCTTGCCTCAGAAATTATCTTGAATTGTGCTACAAGACCCCTTCGCATCCACCCTACAACGTTCTTTCTTCTCATCTGATCAACCAACGAGCGATTGCGTTTGTATCAGACTCCAGAATCAATTTGAACTATCGACCCGAGTGTGCACTAACTCCCGTATCGGCCGAGCGTCTTTTGGAACGCCAACGAGCTGTGATATTAAACCATACTAGGATCTGGTGTATTCAGTTGGACTGGCGTAAGCAAGTGGAAAATCCACCTTGCGGACTTCGGGTTACGGAATATATGGTAAGTTTTGTGGGTGGAAATTTCCGCTTTTTTATTTTCCAGCTACGATTGGTTGCTCCCTTTTCTTGATGGATGCCTTAGAAAAACAGCTGCTGTGTGCTGATTTCCTTATGAGGTCACACTCAGGCATGGAAAATAAAAGGCTGAGTACGTAGGGCAAAACTAAAACTGTTGTTGAGGTGAAACTTCAGTGGATCGCTTGTTAGGACGAAAGTCTGCTTTCCTGTCCTTAAGTAATCCTTCTAATGGTCGAGAGCCTCACCTACAAAAGACTATTCACTCAACCATGCAAAATTCTACAGCTGAAAGTTGTCAGCGCCGTGGGCTTCCACACTATATCACGAATATGCACAAAGCGCCCTAGAACAATATCAGTTAGCGACTTTTTTGTTTATGTGGGAACTTTCTCAGCCTATTAGGAATGTTGTGGAATGTAGGTAGCTCGGGTGCGCTGTTTGGTTGTTGGTCTGTTCGCCAAGTTTGGCACTTAGATTGCAAACGTTTCACCACCAATCGCGGTGACATCGTTAGTGCAGGGCAGGGTGGGTGAATTCCTGCCTGTTTCTGCCTGTTCAAACTCACACCACAAAGCAAGAAGAAAATGGGCGAATCACAACGGGAAACCACACACAGAACTGCCGGATTGAATGCGCACAATGAACCAACCAGACACAGGCGATTGAGGCCACGTCAGATTCACAGGAGGCCAATCAAACTACGTGAAGACCGCTCATCGAACTACCAGATACTGTTTAGATGCTATTTAATCACAATCAGAAGATGAGGAGTTAACCCGCTGAACCCTGCACTGACGATGTCACCTCGATTGGTAATGAAAGGTTTGCAATCCAACTGCCAAGCTTGGCGAACAGACCAACGACCAAACGCTCTCAGTCTGTTGCAGTACAGTTATATGCCTGTTGTTATACTCAGTATTATTTTTTGTACTTTCTGAATTCAAAAATCAGATGTCGCTTTGCCGGCTAACCGAACTCACAAACTGGCTGGTATTTCAAAAAAATACTTGGTAGATCGCCCATGAAAATCTATCTGGAAGCATGTGAAAACTATGAGGGCCATTAACCAAAAGTGGTGGGTAATAAGAATTAGTTGTTTCACACTGTTTCGTTTTGTAAAACTTCGTCCTATGGTGTGAAAGCCTGTGAACGTAAGGAAGTAGTTGGAATTTGATCTGGTGGTTGTTGATCTGTTCGCCGAGCTTGGCAATTGATTTGCGAATGTTTCGCGTCACCGTTCGAGGAGACATCTTCAGTACGCCGTCGGTTGGTTTTCACGCAATAAAGTATGATGTCGCGCTGGCACCACAAGCGTGCTTTTTCTTGGTTCAGCACGCTGGTCTAGCTGGTGCCTGGTACAAAAACGCGGTTTTGCCTTGCGATAATGTGATTTGATGCTACAAAATGCACCCCAGGTGGCCATTTGAACTATTTCAAATAAATAGGGTTACGTCATTGGAAACTGAGCGTACGGAATCCTGCGATGGAGTTGTGATTTGGAAATATGTTTGAAAAAGAAAGTTTAGAAAGTTCACTTCTTCCAAATGTCACTGCCTCATTTGACCGTTCTTCCTTCGAAATGCAAGGTAGAGACGACGTACTTTAACTCGACAAAATACGTTAACTGCAGAAATGTTGTGAAATCCCACCGAAGTGGAGCACTGGAATTTATTCATCCTATAGGACACAGTCACGTGCCAGATTCTCATCTGCGAACGAAATCGTCAGGCGGAATGAAAGGCACGATATTCCGACCCAGTGGTTTTCGGATCCAGAAGTCTACCAGTTGTGACAACTGTGGTTATCCGATTTTGTATTGATGATGAGTTTGTGATAATGAATACGTATCATTCACATTGCATTATACTTTGAATTTTGTTCTCATTTAGTAGAGACAGCAGCCTCCTCGAACATTCCAAAGAGTTACATTGCTTGAAAAATGCAGATATACATAGATTTTATCAAAAAACCTTAACTGGTTCACTCACCGCGAAAGAAACGACGATTAGCATTACGTGATTTCTATTAATAATTGATTTAATCGTTTGCATGTTGCTACCCATGTTGTTTGTTAAAAATTTTAATCGTTTTGCCAAGATACCTCTCTCTTGAATACTAGCGAAAGAAACAGCAGCCAGCGAGAGCTTTGGGACACAATGAGGGGTATTGTCCCAACAAGCCAGGTTGAATGGCTCCGAGGACGACCTGAAAACGCTCACTGTGTGCGCGTTTTTTAAATTGCCGAAGGCATGGTGCGATAGAATCGATTGCTGAAACCGTACCGCAAAAATTGAATGTTCACCAAACTTACTATCCGTGGAAATGAATTAGGAAGGTGTTAAATTTTGGAACCACATCGATGAACCGTAAGATTTCATTTGAACTGAAAGATGGTATTTCAGCCGAGCCTATATGGGAGCAATGAAAACAAACCTCTTTCAGAAAGCCAGTATGTGATTAGCGAAATACACTTACTTGCAAACCAATCTGATTTTTCGAGAGACTCACCCGGAACCCAGCTGAACCTCTCGGTTATGATGTCGAACATAAGTAGAACATAAGGTTGTCGGAAACCCGGGGGCTGCGCCTACCCGAAGAAGTACGAACCCGGTCGTGGACTGTCGAGTAGTTTTCAGCAACCTTGTGAGTAGTACATTACAAAACTAATATGAGATTGTTCACCGGTTTTCAATCGGTCGTGGCACTATCTGTCTGAGAAGTCCTGTGGTGCGAGTCAGTCTATCGACACAAACTAGACAGTTACTGGTTCCAGGGCGAAGGAATCGCTTCGCTTAAGCGTGAACAAGCTCGCCCGTCCAAACGTGGAAATTCAAATTCGTCCAACGTGTACTGATGGAGTATGGGTAGCACCCTTGCCCAACATGTTAAGTGTGCAGAATTCAAACCCTAGCACAGGCAAAGATATGTACTGCAGAAATTCGCGTAGCTAATAACCACTAGTACGAAATTTACACCAAACGATTTCATATGAAGTTTGCTCATACGCCATGTCTTGTGCTCAACGTAAGCCTGCGGGGAAAGCCACTGTTAATAGGATATTCCCTCCCACGTGTCAGTCAGGCACTTGAAAGTCCAGAAATTCCGCTGTGCTAGATTACTTCAGGGTTAACCGTTTGAATAAAGAGCAATTAAAATCGACTGTGCCGTTAGATGAGGAATTTCAGTTGTTGGTCTGTTCGCCGTGCTTGGCAGTTGGATTGCAAACGTTTCATCACCAACCGAGGTGACTTCGTGCAGAGTTGAGTAATGAAAAGACCAACAACCAAACAGTGCACCCGAGCTACCTGCATTCCACAATATTGCTAATGGGGAAGTTCCCTAAACATGGGTTTCTTGTTTAGAATAATATCCGAATGAAAGCAGATGACACAATATGAGGGTGTGCCGAAAAGGGTTGGTATTAATCGATACAGATTTTGTCCTATCAGTGAAGCCAACCCATTCTGAAATGCTGAAGAGCCTAGAAGAGCTGTTTTCTTGTTTTGGGGAATCATTGCCAGCATACAACTCACGAAACTCAGAGGATTTCGAACCCACAACTTTCCGGCCAGTTCTTGAACTCCTAACGATGTGACCCCGAGGGACAGATCTGCATTGTGTTTAGCTTACATTTGAACTGAACATAATACCACTTACCCGAGATACTTATGCGCTGATGGCAGTGTGAGGATACTTGGTAAATGTCCGCAAAGCCAATCTATGCGGATATGGGCGTCAATTGTAACGTCATTCTCACGAAAAGCGCACTCCTGAGTGCGCCGAATTCATTACCAGTGGGTTTTTATTGTCACAAGCATTATGCGAGTAAAAGCCGACGTTAAAGTATGGGTTCATGGGGAGATCACATATGTTTATTCGCCTGTCCTTTCTACCTTTCCCCTCTTTCTCAGAGTGGCCATTTGTACAGTGGATACCTGAACATTGTTATCAACCCCGAGTACGCAAAAACGATAGAGAATCTGTTCTTTCGATTTACTTGCAAAACCAACAACGAAATCCCGCAACAGGTTCCCGGACAAATTTTTGAACAGTAAGCAAACTATCGTTTTTCCATTGGTAGGCTATCAGGTTCACCATCTGAACACACCTAAGGCAAGTGACAGGTTAGAGTGTCTCCGTGAAACTAGTGGTTGGTAGACTGGTCTCATCCGTACACGAGATCGGTTACCACTAGCGTCAAAATAATCTGAGTTGTACAGTTAAAAACCAAGCAAGCGACAGGCATTTTTGATTGTTTTTATCGATTGATATCGATTGGTTGATAATTGAACAACATTAGATCACGAACATTGTTGTAACCAGCATGGACATCAAACGAAATCAGGAGTGATTACTCAATTCCAGAATATCCGGACTGTATTCATCAAGGACTCGATTCCAGAATATCCGGACTGTATTCATCAATATATTTTGTACGTACTGTTATTTGTGCGGTTACTGACACCTCTCTGATTCTACAATCTTATGCTGAATGTGGCTGAATATACCCGCGATAGTCATGAGAACGAAGAAGGTGGCGAACAAGGCTTGTTTTCTGGGACTGTTCCTCCTGGCTAATACATCAAAAATTTATATGGTACCAGAAATCACGTGGAAAAGATTAAGATTAAGGGTATATACACCTTAGAGAATTAGAAATCAAAGGAAGGGCATTGAACGAGGGATAGTTCGATGGGCCACGGAAACAGGTAAGTGATGTCAATGTCAGACAAACTTGTGGGACCTGATGTTCCGTAGGTCAGTTTAAGTTCAGAGATCGCCCAAGTTTCTTTTGGATGCAAAGATGCTGATCCAGCAATCAGATTTCAATCCCCTCTGCGATCGATAGTAGTCTGGATCGTACCAGTCGTGATCCGTTCAGAGGTACGCGGTATATGATGATGAAGGCTTGCTCCTTGTCTATGACAACTGGTTTCGGCCAAATGTGATGCAATCGCGCTTGAGCCTGGTTTCTTCCCACTCCCACTCAGAGATACGGGATTCTGTTCTCGCATTCTGTCCGACAAATGCCTTGTCTTACGACCAACGTACGATGCTCGGCACGAGCTCACAAATGAGTGAACACAAAAGCTGGTGGTAGAACGTGGCAATTTGTCTTTCAAGCAGAATCTGGGGCTGGAGATGAAGCTCAAACAGAGATAAGCGGCCAAGTATGTCACATCAACAGAGTTTCTAAGCCTTCTGGTGATTAGTTCAACAACCGAGTCACCTTTGAATGCAAAGATAGAGTCAACCAGGTGAAAAGCCCTAGATATACTTTACAGCCAGTGAACTCCAGTTTGACCTTACCGCGAACTTGTCGGTTCAACAAACTGTCCCTAAATCATTCGATCGCTTACAATTACAAGTCGAATTATAAATGACATATGGGAAAAATTTGTCAAGTATACTCTAACCTCGGGTGTGATATGTGATTTCTTGCATTCTCTATATATCAGGTGCAGTCAAGCTGTTTTTGATCGAAATGATTTGATATTTGATGTTTCCTTTCTTGTGAGGTAGGGCAGAATTAAACGTTTTATGATAACTCTTCATCGATTAAGTGCTAAACACCACCTTATGCTTCGTGGAAGAGCGTTTATCATTCTCCATTACTATTAGTCGTAAAACGTCAGCAAAAAATTCATCGCGCCAACATTTTGTAATTTCAGAACCATTGGCGAATTAAATCATAGATCTATGGGCGTAGGCACCACCATAAGACAACAGGGGCAGAATACGGTGAAGAATTGCACTCAAATTGTAGTTCTTTCCCTGCGTAACATTTTAATAATCTCCCAAAATGTGAACTGTCCTCCTGTTTTATAAGGCCTCAGGAAACATGAAAGCAAATTCATTCGTTGTCCCACCAAAATCCAAGCGGAACATTATTCGTGGTGATCCAGTCCCCTAGTTGACCATCCATAAACAAAGGCTCAGCTTTTGCGAGAAATACACTTGTTTGCAAATCAATTTGTTTTCAAGAGAAAATCAGCTGAATCTCTCGTGTATGATATTTTACAACTGAATGTAATGCACATAGGCCGCCTCATGTTTCAGTTGGCACGATATCCGAGATGTCGCAATATATTTTCATAAAGGAAACTACTAAAAAGCTTGCTGAAAACTCTTCGACAGCTCACGACCGGTTTCGCCCTTCTTGGGGCTCATCAAGCAGGCACAGTCCCCGAGTTTCCGTTAACTTTATGTTCTACCTGAAACCAAATTGGACTGTTTTCGAGAAATAAACTCATCTGCAAATCAATTTGGTTTTCGCGAGAGACTCGACTGAATCTCTCGTTTATGATATTCTTCAATTGAATGTACTGCACACAGACCGCCTCATGTTTCATTTGGCATGATATCGCAGTATAGTTTAATAAAGGAAACTACCCACAAGCTTGCTGTCGAAGAGTCTGCAACAACCTTGTCAATAGGTTCCTTTATGAAAAAGGCTCAAATTCATCGCCTGAGTTCATGAATTATTGAACTTAGCTTAAAGTCAATCACAAAGCTCAGAAGACGGACAAAGCGACACTAGGGCCAAGGTCACCAACTCATCCTAGCTATTAACAGATTTGCTATGATGAGCTCGCGGGCTATAATTATCAGGTTGAATGGAAACCGTGGCCCCCGGGCAACCAGGCTTTTTGTGTAGATGTCCAGATGGCGTTTTCTCAAAACTCTCTCTTCTTTGCGAAGATATCACAACAAGTTGAGATTCTTTGAAAAAACTGCCTGTGGATTAGGAGTTCTGACCAAAACTCGGCTCTTCTAACTTTAAAACATTCCTTGTGTGTGTGGAGATTCTCACAGTGTTGATTTCACAAGTTTTGTGCCTTGAAAACCGTGACAATTTTCACTCAGTTGATCTCCATCGGGACTTTGACGTCTCTGTGCCTGTCTGAAGAACTGCAGACTTTGATGGGGTTTTCGTCGCAGGGTTTGTTAGGTTCTGTAATCAAACTATATGAAGGATTACCATAAGACTTACGTCTAACGGTCATAAAATCGAAACGCCTGAGTTCATGAATTATTGAACTTAGCTTAAAGTCAATCACAAAGCTCAGAAGACGGACAAAGCGACACTAGGGCCAAGGTCACCAACTCATCCTAGCTATTAACAGATTTGCTATGATGAGCTCGCGGGCTATAATTATCAGGTTGAATGGAAACCGTGGCCCCCGGGCAACCAGGCTTTTTGTGTAGATGTCCAGATGGCGTTTTCTCAAAACTCTCTCTTCTTTGCGAAGATATCACAACAAGTTGAGATTCTTTGAAAAAACTGCCTGTGGATTAGGAGTTCTGACCAAAACTCGGCTCTTCTAACTTTAAAACATTCCTTGTGTGTGTGGAGATTCTCACAGTGTTGATTTCACAAGTTTTGTGCCTTGAAAACCGTGACAATTTTCACTCAGTTGATCTCCATCGGGACATTTCTAAAATGGAACAGATTTATCAGTTATTTGCGCGAAACCAAGTTAAATCAACAGATACCAGTAATTGTTCGACTTTACTTACATGGAAGATCATATCTCTGGGCCAGATGTCCTCCTCGCTTCTGATCGTTAGCAAGATGTAGGTTTTTTGGTCTGTCTACATTGTTATTTTAACCTTTACAGACGTCGCCAGACAAACACAAAATTTTGACTTATTTGCCCATTTGAAAACGGAGTTTTGATGAGTCTGTGTCGTGAAAAAATTTCACTTTCAACAAACTGGCAGTTATAATAAAATTTAACGGAATCGCAACAACTGTTCAGACGGTTCAATAGATCAAGCAATGTGACGGATGCCATGTGGCGTTTTTGTCCTAATTACCATAAGTAATCACCAATGTCATTCAGAGGAGACATTTCATTCTATCCAATGTTTTTTCTCTCACTCAGTCGATCCAACCTCAAAGTAGAGTCTAATTTCGTCTGGAACTCATCCTTAGCGTACTGTTTGTAATCAGGTAACCAACCAATGTTTGGATTCTTTTCAAACGGCAAAAATCTCTCGCTTGTGGTTACATTGAATATCGCCCAAAATGTTGTCATAGTGCGTCATTTGTGAGGTAATGTTATGATTGGGTCAATTCCCATGTTTAAACCAAAATTCAGTCCCTATGATGACAATTGGATTTGTTGTAACAAAATTCTGTGGGTCGCAGTGTGCTGTCTGCGATGTAAAGCATTGGTACGTCATACTCAACGTTTTTCTACGACATTTTAGATGGAAGAAATTTCCGGATTCCTTAGTCGTTGGATTCTTACCCAGAAACAAAGTTGTGGTCCCACCGACATCAAAAGAATGTGTACTTGTTGCAAGGCAGTTAGAATTTGGTACCAACAGCAAGGGTTTATAACTACCTTGTGGCTATCATTGATGTACAAGTGCCTGTACATTCGTCGCTGCAGAAAAGGCGAGTATTCAGTAACAAAATGGGGGCTAACGCAACTAAAACGACAAGGGATGGAGACGTCATTCAACCCCATAAAGTTCTATTTGTGGATACTTCTGGGAGGCAGATAACTGGTTTATATATATACACATATATATGAAGGTAAAGGTGATAGGTACTTTATGTGGCTCAATTTATATTAGATCAAAGACAACGTTCGGCAGATTCTTTATTCTTGAAACCGGACATCTAAAAATTGTTACAAAACTCCCTCGCAATGTGTGCTGGAGCTAACATTACAACTGACTTTAGGAAACCACTTTGGGGATAGACTTTTACCATACCCTTTTGAGTAGTACATGAGTTACGAAGCGGCTTCAAAGCAACAACAATACACGTTTTCTTTTGTAAAGGAAACTACTCACAAAGTTGCTGAAAACTCTTCGACAGCCCTTTCTTGGGGCTCTTTTATAGTTTGTTGCAGAGGCAAAAATGTTCGAAGCAAATCAAGACACGAATAGCTAACGCCCGACTCTGTATTACGCGGCTGCTTTAACTCCTGCATTCATAGGTCTTCGATAGCCCCTTCTTGGGGCTCTTTTGTAGTTTGCTGCAGAGGCAAAAATGTTCGGGCTCAGCAACTCAAGACATGAATAGATAACGCCCG